AGGAAAGTATAGATGTATTGCCCGCATGTGTTACGATGGGGGTTGCTTCATTTCCGCAAGTGACTTGGGAAAATTTTTGATATTCTACCTCTGCCGAAGGGTATATTGAAGCATGTACCTGAGGGTTTCTACTCTGATGTTCGCCCGGAGGCTATATGCGTCAATTGTAGATTTTCGCTTGAGGAAATTTTGTATTTTGTTCTGTGTGATGCCCGAGGGGTGTATCCTAGTCCCCCACTCCTTTAGGCCGAAGGCAAGTTCGGGCTGAAGGAGTTATGGCGTGTTGATGAACTCCCGAGGGATAACAATATGAATAAGCCGAAGGATTACGCTGCTGCAGGCTCGAAGGCGCTTGGTGAAATTCGCTGGCAGAAGGCTGTGGTGAGTGATAGCCGGAGGCTATCATTCGAGGGCACCCCCAGTGTTGCCGAAATATAGTCGTTGTAATATAGCCGTTGGGAGAGGAGCTGACGTGGCGCGTTCTCGTTGGCTGACGGGGGGCGGGTGCCACCCATTGGTCAAGGTGGCGGCCCGTAATGATGGGCTTTTTAAATCGAGGCCCGTCTTTCGAGGTCGGAAGTTTATAAATACCCCAAGGCCAGGTCTCATTCCTTTGTGCGAATCTGAGTGATAGCGGAGCTCTGCCAATTTTTCTAGAGAGAGAAACCTTTTTCTTCGATCAAAGCCAAGTTTCCAGGTCAGTTCTTCACCTGTTCTTCACATACTCAGCGTATTTTGCTTCCTTGGCCTTAGACTTAGTGTTTAGAGCCTCTAGGCCTTTTCTTCAATTCTCTCCCTCACCCTACGAAAGGATGTCCTCGGCGAATGACTCCCAAAACATCTCAGAGGAAGCCCCGCTGGTGTCCGAGAGTATATCGGATGTGGAATCATCAAGCGAGCAGCCGTCGGCAGGAAATGACTCCGCAATAGCTGAAGAAGTCCAAGGCCAACTGCGCACTGAGCTCGAGGCGGAGGAGTTCGATCAGGTGGCGGAAGACGAGGAGATGGCCCTCGCTCTTCAAGTAGCCGAGGAGGAAGAGGAAAAAGAAAGGCAGCAAGTAACTATCGCCGTCTTGCCCTCTCGCTGTACTGGGGAGACGAGTACCTCCCGGGCGTTAGATCCGGAACCCCTGAGTGTAGCTCCCGGCAAGAAGAGGAAGAAGACGAAGGCTCCTCAGAAGAACAAACAGACCGCAGTGGATTGTGGGAAACCCGTAGGAATACCCGAGGGGCATTCCTGGCTGAATACCGCCGCCCTCGCACTGAAGTCGAGAGTAGATAGGGCAGAGTGCTATGTTACCCAATTGCATGTTGGCCCTTCGGCGACTGTGATCGAACCGGGACCCAATGACCTCCTGTCCCAGGCTCCGGAGGGGTGTTTTGCGGTCCATGTGCTGTCGGTTTCAATGGGCCTTCGGTTTCCGCTGCACCCATTTCTTCTCGAGTACCTTAGGTACGTGGGGTTAGCCCCCTGTCAGCTAACCCCGAACAGCCATTCCTACATCACCGGATTTCTGCAACTCTGCCGGTCCCGAGGGGTAACTGCAAGCCTTGATCTTTTCTTCCAAAGCTTCAACCTCTGCCGGGGGGGGGGGGGGGGGGGGGGCACACGAACTCCGAAGGGTTTGCGAACCTGCAGCAGCTCGCCCCTGGAGGCTTTTCGATGACGTGCCTTCATCCCACAAGGGATGGAAGGACCGTTTCTGCTACGTTAAGATGGCCGAAAATCCATTCCCGAGGGAACTGCGCAACCACTTCAGGCGGCACCCGAAGGTGGGAAGTGCTGCACTTCAGAGGGACGGGAGGAAGATTGCCGCTTTGTTGCCGGGGGCCACAAAGCATGTGTCCGTCAAGGACTCCACCCTCCTAGAAGACTTGCTGGCCTTAGGCTTTCGACGGTACCGTTTCCAGGGCGAGAGGGACGAACAGTACCCTGTCCTTGAGAGAGCCTTCGGTAGCATTGGAGGTAGTTACCGGAGGGTCTGCTTTAGTACTTAGGATTTTTGTACTTCCTCATTTTTCTTCCTTTGTAGTTGACCCCTTCGGTCTGACTTTATTGTTGTTTTGCAGGTGTTAGCATGGATGTCTCCAACTTTGCCGCTCTGAAGAAGAAGCTGGCCAAGGAGCCAAAGAAGAAAAAGGAGGCGGGGGCTCAGAAACCCGTCGATGATTTCTTCAAGAAGGTTGGGGCGTCTCAGGTCCCGGAGGGTGAGGGCCCCTCCAAAACTGTCGACGCCGGTGCTGGTTCCGGGGGCTCCAAAGGGGAGGAGCTTAAGAGAAAGAACTCCGGGAAGGGTGTTGCTCCCCCGGAGAACAAGAAGCAGAGGAAGGGGACCTCCGGGAAGAAGGATGCCCCCATTGTGATAGTCGAGGAGCAGCCATCCTCGCATCCCTCGGCGACCACTCCTCCTCGCTCCCCTCCATCCCCTATAGACGAGGAAGTCCGCCCGGCGGAGATCATCCAATTCCCTGTCAAGTCGGGGACTTCAGTCATGCATGGCACCCTCCACCCTGTTGGCTTCATGAGGGGGGTGATGGCGCCGAAGGATAGGTCAGTGCTGACCCGCCTCGGGGATGACATCCTCGATTATAAAGTCGCCAGCTACAGCACCATGGTGAGCCGCGTTCCCCCTTTTCTTTCCTTCATTTCTCTTTTTTGACAATAGCCCCCGATGGCTAATTCTGATGCTATATCCAAGATTAAGGATATCAAAGGTGTGGTTATTAAGGGCAAGTGTGATTATTGTGCCAAAATTTATTATTGTCACTCAAAAAAGCATGGTACTTCCTCCATCAGGAATCACATGCTTAGCTGCTTAAAAAACCCTCATGCTAAAGACACTAGACAGGCCCTCTTAACCTTTCAATCAGTCCCTCCACAGCATGGTCAACCTTCTGAAAATGTTGGGGTCATAGGAACCCGGGTCTTTGATCAAGATGCTACTAGGAGAGCTTTAGGAGAAATGCTAATCATTGATAAGCTTTCTTTTAGATTCTTAGACAGTTTGTGTCAGTAGCATGTCCTAGATTTGTAATACCATCTAGGTGGACAATTGCTAGAGACATCTATCAAATATACCTTGATGAAAGACTCATCCAAAAAAAGATGTTCAGGGAACACAGTCAAAGAGTCAGTATTACCACTGATACATGGACCTCTGTACAGAGGATAAATTACATGTGTATAACTCATTTCATTGATAATCAGTGGAAGCTTCAGAAAAGACTCATGTCCTTTGTCCGTGTCACTTCTCACAAAGGGGAGTACCTAGTTAAAGCCCTGGAGACTTGTTTGCTTGAGTGGGGTCTGAGAAATATTTTCACTGTGACAGTTGATAATGTTAGTAGTAATGATACTGTTGTTGGGTTTTTTAAGGAAAAAATGATGTCTTGGGGTGCTTCTTCTGCGAAAGTCAAGTATGTTCATATGCGTTGCATTGCACACATTTTGAACTTAGCTGTCCAAGATGGGCTTAAAGATGCTGATAGTTCTGTTAAGAGAATTAGGGAAGCTGTTAAGTATGTTAGGAACTCACCTGCTAGACTTCAGAAGTTCAAAGATATATCTAACTTGATAAGAGTGGAAGCTAAGTGTGGTCTGCACCTGGATGTTCCAACTAGGTGGAATTCCACTTACCTGATGCTTAAATCTGCTATTTCTAATGAGAAAGTGTTTGAAGCATATGAGGAGAATGAGAGTGCATTTGGTACTGATTTGGGTAGTGACATTCCTGATGTTTTAGATTGGATTGCAGTTGAAACTTTTGTGACCATTTTACGAATTGACTTTTATGAGGAAAATTTTTATGAATTGACTCTTAAAATTTCTGGCTCACTGTATGTTACTTCCAATACCGTCTTTTCTGAAATATCTGATTTGTTCCTTGTCCTAAAAGACATGGTTGCCTCTCCATCTGCTTCTGTCAGTGCAATGGGGTCTACTATGAAAGCAAAGTTGGACAAGTACTGGGGTGATCCTGAAAAAATGAACTCCTTGATCTTCTTTGCTAATGTGTTAGACCCTAGGGACAAGTATGAGTATATGCCATTTCAGCTCAATGCCTTATATGGTGAAAAAATGGTGCCTTGTTTTTTGCCAAAGTGAAGTCTGGCCTCATTGAGTTATATGCTGATTATGTTGTTACATACTCTGAGTGTGTTGGTGGAAGTTCTAATTCTAGTTCACATAGTGCTGCATCTGTGGAAGTCAATAATGCTGAGAACAGGCCAGTGTCAAGATTTAAGGCTGAGTTAAAAAAAAACTAGAGAATGGTCAGTTAGGAGTTAAAAAAACTGAACTTGATACATATCTTGAAGAGTCAATAATTGAGGAAGATATGGACTTTGATATACTGAGATGGTGGAAGTTAAATAGTGAAAGATTTCCTATTCTATCTAAGATGGCTAGAGATGTACTTGGTATTCCAATCTTCACAGTAGCTTTTGAGTCCACATTCAGTACCAGTGGTAGGGTTTTGGATTGTTTTAGAAGTTCTTTAAGTCCCAAAATTGTGAAAGCCCTTATATGTGCACAAGATTGGTTGAGAATGGCTAACCAGCCTATTTCAGTTGAAGAAAACATGGATGATGTGGACAGATTAGAAAAGGGTAGTACTGTTATGCCTTTGTTTATTTAAACATAATTTGTAATATAATGTTTTCATTTTTCATTTCTAATACTTCTGTTTCTTTGTTTTATAGAATTAACAGATGTAAATCTTGGTAGTGCTGCTACTGGGGCTACTGGATCCTCTAATGTCCCATTGAGTGTACACTTTTTGTTTGCATTGCTATTTTTTACATTAATTTGTGAAGCATTTCACAATGAATTTGAATATTTGATTATCTGACTATGATGCCTCATTGTGGGACTGGAAAGAACTATTGAACTACTATGATGGAATTAAGATTCCACTCATTCCAGTGCCCACTTGGTACAATGCTATTGGCCCCTTATCCGTTTGTCCCTTGGTCCCTTGGAAAGCTTGCATGGTAAACCACTTTTATGTTTTTTTTTTGCCGAAGTTTTATTTAGATAAGAGAAAAGTACAAGAGAGGGGGACCAAACCTAAACCTCCCAAAAGTAAATCAAGAGTCTCTAAAGGAAGGAATGCCATAAAAATCGGCCCAATAAGCCTTTTTAACCAAAATAGGTAGCTGATCCAACCCATTATAAATTTTAATCTGATCTACCCATTCCTGGGCCAGATAATGAGCCGCCCAGTTCCCCTCCCTCAAAACATGCCCGAACCCAATCGCTTTCCTAATTCGGATGTCTGAAATTGCCTGAAGTTCATTTTCCCATCTCCTTCCCGACTTCCCCTCAATGTATCTCAAAGCCTCCAAAGAATCAGTTTCAACACACATGTCTTCGAAACCATTCGCAGCTGCCCACTTTACCGCGAAGAAGATAGCTTGAAGTTCAGCATCCACCGGCGACTGTGCAAGCAATGGAAAGCTGATAGCTGAAGCTAACCGACCCATTCCATCTCGAACAATTGCTCCTCCACCAGCTCTACCAGATAAGTAACATGCATCAATGTTCATCTTCCATTTCATTCTAGGTCTCTGCCATTTGATAATCTGAAGCTTGAATCCCTTTATTTTGTAACCTCTCGGGACTAATTTTTCTTCTATAAGAACACTTCCAATGGATCTCAATTTTCCGGAGGTGAGACTAACCACCCAATTTTGTAAATACATCTTTATCATAGTAATGATTTGGTCGGCATTAGAAATAACAGAATCTGATCCCCATACGTTGTTCGCATAAGCTTTCCAAATTATCCAGCATATGATGCCTGGCATATTACTTCTAACAACCCCCATCAAACTTTTATCTGTATTAATTGACCTCCAGTAATGAAATCTGCTATACTCCATACCAACCCATTGATAAATACCAAAGATACTCAAGAAATAACTCCACACTCTTCTAACCACTTTTATGTTACAGTTCATACCTATGATGATATGAACACACATTTGGCTGTGATGAATGTTTCCAGGGTTTAGAGTTTTCACTTTAAACTTTTGAGTAATTATCCCATGACTCATGGATGATTGTGTTGGTGTTAATCCTGTTTGGATAGTATGCCCATATCCTTTGTGAGATCATATGTGAGATAACTTGGAATCAATCTGAGCCTAACTTTGCATACCTTAAACTGTTTATGAGTATTTACTTCTAAAGTTTCTGAGTATTTACTTTTACAGTTTACTTATACAGGATGAAATATCCAATATGTTAATTTGATGGTCTGGGGTCTGGAATCTGGAATCTGGATTGTTCACTGTGGAGCATGAAGTATGTGTGAAGTAATGAAGTGATCATCTTGTACTGGTATGCTGCTGTTAATTGTTAAATATCAGTCTGATATATATGATATATATATATATATATATATTAAATAATATATATGGTAAAATGGCAATGATGAAGCTTCCACTCATTACTGAATCGATCTAAGAGGTTTAGGGTAGGTATTGCTCTTTCAGTTCTTAAGTGATAACTGAAATGGTAGCGGATGCCCCCTATCCTTTATGAATGATAATAAGCATTCTGAGCCATCTCATTGTCTTCTATAGTCATTTGGGAATTGGGAACTTCTGAATTTGTAAAAATAGCTCAATCTGTATCTTCTAAGTATTATTTTCATAGTATACTCCAATTCTTTGTGAAGTTGATACTTGTTTATGTCTTCTACTGATAATCTGGTATAGTGGTATGCTGCTATTAAGCTTGTATATAGTCTGACTTGATATGAAACAGAATTGGATTGTCATGTTCTTTTTCAGTGTATCTTGTGACCCTATTATAATATATGACACATATCAGTATGATATATATGAATTGTATGTATAATTGTATAGTCATTTGGGAGCTTCTGAAATTCTGAATTATGATTTTGTAAAAGGACTTAATCTGTTTCTTGCAAGTATTTTTTTCATTGTATACTTCAATTCTTTGTGAATTTGATACTTGTTTATGTATTCTATGTTGTATCCAGGTAAATAGGTAATGAACTTGTTAAGTTTTGGCATATTAAAGCTGGGAAGTGGACAAGTGGTCAAATGGTCAAGTACTTAGTACTCAACTACTCAAGTGTGAAGTGGGAATTTATGATTTTGCCTATTTGGAGAATTTTAAATGGCAGCTTGTGAAGTTGTAACATTTATAACTTTATAAGTTTGTACTTTTAAACATTGTAATGTGTTTGAACTCAGTATTTAAAGTCCCAAATTCCAAGTGGCCAAGGCCAACTCCCAAGCATTTAAATATTTCATTTTGTTCACTTTTTTGGACTTAAACTCAGTATGGTTTGATTGTAAACTTCAAATTGTATTTAAAGTCTGATAATTCTGCAACCCGATTTAACCCAAAACCCGACCCGCACCCGAAATTAACCCGAAAATCCGAAACCCGAAATTACTTTAATTTAAAAGCATAGGATCGGGTATCCATTCAGGTCACCCGATACCCGATAGGGTCTTTGGTTTTTCAAACCGCCCGACCCGAACCCGACCCGTGCTCTCCCCTAAACCTAATTGAATGTTTTTATAGTTGGAAGTAGGGGTGGGCATAACGGTTTGGTTTAACCGAACCGAACCGAACCGAACCGTACCAAACCGAACTAATCCGAACCGAAACCGGACCGTATGCAATTTGGTTTGAGTTTGGTACTATTTCTTCCAAACCGTATCAAACCAAACCAAACCAAATCGAAACCGATAAAATCCGAACAAAACCGAACCGAACTAAAGAAACTCAAAAAAACATTCATATATTATTAAAATTGGTGGTTTGATTTGGTTTGGTATGGGTTTACTAAAGTAAACCATTTGGTAAACATTTGCTCAAACCGAATGGTTTGGTACTTTGATTTGGTTTGATTTAAAATGGAAAAACCGTAAACCGAAATGAACACCGAACAACATACACACACATGTATGTATGTATGTATGTATGTATGTATGTATGTATGTATGTATGTATGCATGTATGTATGTATGTATATACAATGTATTTATCTTCACTCATCATTTTTAAGATATAAATAAATAATTTAGACATGAAAATCCATATTTAAGCATATACTCGTATCATTTTAACTTTTACACAGTTCATACATTCATTATGACAAAGTTAACTAATACAAAATATTTGTATTTATCATGTTTGTCGATAAAAATAGCAAATTGCATTTATATTTTACATGATTCATTTGAATAAAATTGTGAATATTACAACATTTGTATCATCGACTCTTTTAGGCTTTTTTTAAATATTTTATGTGATATTATAAATGCTAATCAACTATCTTATTTTTTGTAAGAAGTGAATTTTTTGTAGTGATAAAAAGGTGTTAGAAGTTTTAATTTATAATATTTTATTATTTATTTTTCTATCTTTTATTTCCTTTTACATTTTATTTAAATAATCAATAAATTTATAAAAGATGAGATGGACTACTACTTTCATTTTCTAATTCTAAAATATAGAAATTGATCAAATAAAATAATAATCATAAGCAAACGAATCAAATCAAACTAAATTAAACATAATATATTTTACTTTGGTAAACCGAACTTCAAACCGAACCGAACCGAAACCAAACCGAAAAACAAATGATTTTAGTTTGGTACAAATTCTCCCAATCCGAATAAACTGAAACCGAATCGAAACCGAACCGTAAACCGAATTAGAAGGATTAATGAATTTTTCCTATAAACATTCCCACGTTTCAAAATACAGCTAAAGGGTTAGGGTTTCACAGGATACCGTAAGATGGCGAACCGGACGGACCCAACGGCGAAGAACATACACGGCACAAATCCGCAGAATCTCGTGGAGAAAATTGTGCGATCCAAGATTTATCAAAACACCTACTGGAAAGAGCAATGCTTCGGTCTCACGGCGGAGACTTTGGTCGACAAGGCCATGGAGCTCGATCACCTTGGCGGGACCTTCGGTGGAAACCGTAAACCTACCCCTTTCATGTGCCTCGTCATGAAGATGCTCCAGATCCAGCCTGAGAAGGACATTGTAGTCGAGTTTATCAAAAACGAGGATTACAAGTACGTGCGTGCCCTCGGTGCTTTTTACTTGCGTCTTACCGGAACGGATATGGACATTTATCGCTACCTTGAGCCTCTCTACAACGATTATCGAAAGTTGAGGCTCAAATCACCCGATGGAAGTAGGTTTTTTTTTTGTCCAGTTTTTTTAACATGCTTGTGAAATTATTGCTTTCTGTGGTGTGTAGTGTTCTGATAAGATTTGTCACAGACTATACTCTTGTGATATTGTTTTTGTCACAGACTATACTTTAAGTCACGTGGATGAGTATATTGATGAGCTGCTGACGAAAGATTACTCTTGTGATATTGCCCTGCCTAGAATTAAGAAAAGGTACGTGATGATTTGCTTTCCGTTGTAGTTTTTCATCATTCATAAGGTTGACACGTTGAGTTCAATTATTCTATAGTCATGAATTCTGGACGGAATTTGGGGCATCTTAATGGATGAGATTTTGCACTTTTGGCCTTCTATTTATTGTGTTAGTGACACTTATCCTTTGATTATTTTGATAAACACTTTTCTTACCCATCTTTGAATCTTTCCATTTTTAATCGTACCGATGAAAGTGACACTTTTGCCACAATGAGTGGACTACCAAAATTGTCATTATGGTATTAGTTAAGGACTAAAAATGTCACTTTCACATTAGTTAGAATACATAGTGAAAAAGTTCAAAAAGTCAAAAAACTCCAAGTCAATCACCAAAATGTATATCCTTCACAACAGTTGAAAGACTAAAAGTGAAAAAACTCAAAGACGAGTACTAAAGTGTCACCAACACAATCGTTAGAGTCGACGGATGACTTAAAGTACAAAAACTTTCATGGAATTTGATGGTTACATAAGTTGGATCATTTCACCATTGACATAGGGATAAGCAGAGGTCATTTTCTTGCTCAACCATCTTCATGCTTCATAAAGGTGCAAAAGAAGTAGCTGACTAGAATGGGTCATTTCATTGATTAAGGGGCTGCTTTATTTGCCTATAGTTTTCTTATCTGTAAACATTGATTGTTAGAATTCCAGATCACAATTGTACTCGCCTTTTCTGCTCTGTAAGTATTACAATCATATTGTAATAAACTAGGATGAGAAAGTCAGTCATTGATGTTATGGTCATTGATTTGTAATTGATAGAGCTTATGTTAGATAAGTTTTGGAATCTATCCACTGTAATTTCATGATTGTTCCTTCTTCAATTTGCTTAGTTCCTAATACTCTCACCTCCTTTTTGTCATCCTTTAGATGGACCCTTGAATCTCTTGGTCAACTGGAACCCCGAAGAAGTGCTTTGGAGGATGACTTTGAAGAAGAGGAAGAGAAGGATGATGATGAACAGCTTACTATTGGCATAAATGTTGGGCATGATAAGGTTTCTTGTATTTTTTTCTCGTATGATTAATGCACATCCTTCCATTTGCATATAGTTTTATTTTGTCTTCTTTCGTCTTCACTTCTGATGCAGGATTATTATCATGGGCACAGTCCAACTAGGGAAAAAGATAGAGACAGGAGACGAGATAGGGACAGTTACAGACACAGGTAACATTCATCTTTGTGACCGCCTTAGTTTTAAAAGGCATGAGGCGGCTTGAAGCAATTTCATTGATTTACCCGAGGCGCTAGGCGCTAGGCAATGAGGCGCTCGCCTCACGGATCCCAACCAGATTTCTTTGGTGAAATATATTTTTAGTACTTATGCATGAAGCACTCTTCTTAAAATACTTCAAACTATTAAACAATCTTAATAAACATCATGAGAGAAACAAATATTTATTGAAGACAATAAGTCAGAAGCCTAACAAATATATGTTATTGAATCCCTAACAAATATATGTTATTGAAAGAAATAATCACAAAAACTATGCATTGTGGACTGTTGAAGTAATACAGTAAGAACTAACAAACTTTCAAGGGTGTCTTATAATATTAAAGTAAAATTGTAAAATTATACAATTTGCTTATAAGCCTTATATATAAAACAATTAATAGTCATTTTGTGATAAATTGTTATATCTGTTAATAGTAATTTTAATAATTAATCTAATAAACTGTTATATAAAAATTGTTAAAAAATGTTAATAATAAAAACTGTCATTTTATGCAATACATAGTTAATGAATCTACGGTGACTCGGATCCTCTTGAAGAATCTATGGTGACTTTGCAATACATAGTTAATAAATTAGTGTTATAACACTACAATATATATTACTCCGTATATAGTATTATGATAGTATCATTGACAAACTATCATTGTTATGTAATTAACTATAAAATAAGCTTTAAAAAAAACTATAAAATAATACATATTTAATTAATAAACTATCACACAAATACAATTCTGTAAAATTAATTACAAACAGATTTGTAAATTTAAATAATTTTATAAATTTAAAAACTAAAAAACTTAAAAACTTAAAAGACTTTTTTTTTCAGTTATCTATCAAAACTTATAAATAGCGAACCATAATATATACGTAGTACCAGTTATCTAACTTTTTATTCAAACAATTTTAATATTTTATAAATATAACAACTTAAAATGAAAGAGAATAAATAGCAAAAGACAAAAAAAGGTAAATAGACTTACCTGCGACGCAGATAGCAGCGAAAGAAACAAGTTGGAACTCAGAAGACTCAAACACCTACGCCTAAGCAACTGAATCGCCAAAAAAATTGGAAAGGGAATAGCCAAAAAATTCCATCGGACACTTACTTCCAGGAGGCGTTAAAAGCGCTCGCCTCTCTGAAGCGCAAAAGCGCCGATTAAGGGGCGCCTTAGTGAACATGCGCCACCTGGGGGTATAAAAAGCGAGGAACCTCACGCCTTTAAGCGCCTAGCGCCTTTGCATGCCTCAGGCGCGGTTTTTTTAAACCAAGGTGACCGCTATGTTATTGAAGAAAATGTATGTCTACAAAGTTAGTTGTACTTATCAAAATTCAGAAGAAATACTACCTCTGTCTCAAAATGTCATGCCTGGTCAGATATGCTTTAATTAATACACAAGAGTAAAAGTAATGAAATCATTATATTTCATGATTTATTTTCTGTTAAACTCAATTTTATGGTGAAGTTGAGATTTAAAAAGGCTAGTTCGGGTATCTAGGCGGTTTGTTCAGGAGAGGCAATATGCCTTGAGGCATACCAAGTTAAACTTAAAATAGTTAAACTACTAAAAACCAACTAAAATATGCATAACCATAAGTCCAAAAGGTCTCACACACATTATATGATCACATAACCGATACAATAATTCAAAATGAGAATTAAATCACACAAAAAAACACATCACACAGACGACACAGTGTAGATGTATCTTATAGCCTTATCAGTTATCACCATCAGCCCTTCCATTATCAATATCAAAGTCATCCCTTTCTTCTTCTTCTTCATCCTCTACCTCCATTACTTGTTTATTTTTCTTACTTTCCTTGGATACCAGTCTTATTTTAACCATTTCACTCGTCAACCTTCTTAGGGTTTGGAAAGTGTATATTGACACATGCTTAATGGGACTTTTAGTAATTAAAATTTAATTGGCCTTTTATAAAATAAAATTACTGGGCCTTTTTAAGTTACACTCGCGGTAAAAAAATAAATGAATAAAATCACATCTAAAAATGGCTTGAGGCACGTGCCTCAAGGCGTAGCCCTGACTTTTGAGGCTTATACGCCTCTTATCCTCCCAAAAAAATTAAAAACCTAATCCTCCAGACCTGATATCTGTGCATCACATTGAGGTGCGTCTCAAAACCCGCCTCTAAACCACCTTTTTAAACCAGTGTGGATTAGAGAGTATTTTGTGCTTGGTCTTTTATCTCTCAAAACCTGATGTCTGTGCATCACATTGAGGTGCATCTCAAAACCCGCCTCTAAACCGCCTTTTTAAACCAGTATGAATTAGAGAGTATTTTGTGCTTGGTCTTTTATCTCTCTAGTGGAAGCTGTCTCTGGAACTACACCATGTTTTGCACACATTTATTCACGTACTAAAACCATCACAGTGACTGAAGCTAGTTGTGGATTAGAACAGCTTCCGAGAATAAGATGTTTTGATCTTGCCAGGTTTCTCTGCCCTGGCAGTGGGCAGGTGAGAATTATGATAGATCTCACATTTCTTTTAGTTAAAGATGTTGCAGTAGTACATTGTTAAATTGCATTAATTGCTTTCTGTTTAGCTTTTATTGCCTCATTTTAGTTAGTGTTAATTACAAATTCTTTTTCTTCATCCTCTACCTCCATTACTTATTTGTTACTCTGTGCGTCACATTGAGGCGCGTCTCAAAACCCGCCTCTTAACTGCCTTTTTAAACCATGGGTGTGGATTAGAGAGTATTTTGCATTTGGTCTTTTATCTCTCTAGTGGAAGCTGTCTCTGGAACTACACCATGTTTTGCACACATGTATTCACGTACTGAAACCATCACAGCGATTGAAGCTAGTGGTGGATTAGAACAGCTTCCGAGAATAAGATGTTTTGATCTTGCCAGGTTTCTCTGCCCTGGCAGTGGGCAGTGAGAAGTATGATAGATCACACATTTCTTTTAGTTCAAAATGTTGCAGTGGTACATTGTAATTGTTTTAATTGCTTTCTGTTTCGCTTTTGTTGCCTTATTTTAGTTCTTGTTAAATACAAATTCTTCTTCGTCATCCTTTACCTCCAATACTTGTTTATTTTTCTTACTTTTCTTGGATACCAATCTTATTTTAACAATTTTACTT